AAAAAATTTTGGATGCTTTTTTATTTTATCCTCAATCTTACACAAATAATCGTTATAACACTTTTGTTGCAACTTGTGACAGTCTTTTCTGAGATAAGAAAATTCTACAATGTCCAACGGATTGTTATACTTTTTCACTAAGTTGTGTAATTTTGTTTTTTTTTTTGAGTAATTTCGTTAACTGATGCGTATACCATGAAGGATACCGCCCTCTCTTATATTTAGTTTTTGGCACATGTCTATTGATTACGCCGTGAACAGCATCATAAAACCCATTCAACATATCATTCACATCATTGCAGGTAGAAAACTCAGTATCCCAATTAATTTCGGCCAGGGCCTCGATGATGAGATTGTAATCAGCTTTATGTTAATTGGGCCTACTAATTTGCTTAGAATGGTTTATAGATATAACAGGAAGATGAAGCCCAATTTCAATGGCTGGATGGAACTTATCCAGTTCCCTTATGGGATCGAGACAATTATCTATACGTAGTTGTTCTGCATCACAGAGCACCAAGTCAAGTATTTTATTTTGAAAGTTTTTTATCCAGTTAAACTGTTTGAAGCCGTATAATGCCATAAAATCAAGCAATACATTTTTGAGGTTGCCTGAACCACTAGAAGAGGCCGAGCATGAACCATCAGTGCCACGCTCGATCCAATTCACACAACTCATGTTAAAATCACCAACTATCAATGTACAGCTTCTACTATTTTTCCCCATGATCGAGTCACAATTACGAATGAAATGCTCAAGGACGTCGATGCCAACCGGAGGCGGTATATATACAGCACAGATGTTTAAACATTGTGGGCCTGCATTAGATTCAGTATTGATGGAAATCCACAAATCCTCGCAATCACTTTCCCATTCTTTTAGGCGATTGGAAATTAATTTGTTGGTGACGGCTATAAGTACACCGCCCCCGGTCTTCTTATGTTTACTGAAATAAGAAGTCGCACGATCCCGTCTGTATACTGTGTATGAGTCGTTAAATAATTCAGAGTCAAGAACACTGTCGCATAGCCAAGTTTCTGTTAAAATAAAAATGTCGTACTCACTGTTACATATGCGCTGACGTACCTCTGAGATACAGCTGCGTAAGCCTCTTGTGTTTTGATAGTAACATTTAATGGAATTGAATTTAAAAATAAATGATCCTATAAGCTAGCTTAAGTTATACAGTTGGAGAAAGTTTTATTTTAAAAGATTCAGCTTTTCGATACTATTTACGACCACAGATTCGGAGGTTTCGTCTTTCTTTATTAAAATTTTTCCACTACGAACCCAAACGAACTTGTATCCCAGTTCTTTGGCTTTCAGTCTCGTTGCCGCATGAAGAGCCTTATTTTCTTGAGATAGATGTTCAGCAACGTAAATGGGAACAGCCTTCTCGGCGGCTATACCGAGATGGCTTGAATTTAATTTGTTTTTTGGGTTATTTTTATTGAACTTCAGTGATGCCGCCAAAAAAGCATCCCGTATCCGAGGACTGTTGAATTTTACGAGTACTGATCTTGGTCGTGGATTATGTGGGTCTTTTTTAGCGACTCTGGTGCATTTTAATATATCGGTGTCCTTTACATCACAGTTAATCACCCTGCCTAGTTGTAGCACAGTTGTTATCAGGTTTTCGGTTCTGTACTCAGGTAAACATTGCAGCTCAACGTTACTTGACCGAGAGTGCTGTTCCAGTGTATTTATTTGCTGTTTTAACGTTTTAATATCGTACTGTAGATCATTATTTTCTCTTTCTAGTTTCAGCATTTTTGAGGAATTTTCTTCCAAGGTCGCTTTCATTTCTTCATATTTATCATTAAAAAATGACAGCGTCTTCCTGAATTCAGAAAGCGTTTCGTTGATCATGTTGAACTGTTCTGCAATAATTTTCTTAATAGTGACCTGTAACGCTACATTCACCTCTTGCCTAATTATTTCTCTCAATGAATTGCTAGAGATGTCTGCCAGGGACAAGTCGTTCTCATCATTGTGGTTTGTGGAACATTGAAGCATTTGTTGACGGCGACGTGTAACATTAGAGTCCTCACCGGGAGATAGCCGGTCGCTGCCTATTGGGCTGTTCTGTTTGACTGCCTGGATTGGGGTATTGGTGTTATCAAGTTTCGGCTGCTTGTTACGACAACCAGGGCATTTCCAACTGTTTTTAGCACCAACATGCATTGTGGCATATCTTTTCTCAGATATATCTGCACATAGCAGATCGTACCATTGGTGGCACAGTGAGCATTTTAACCCCTTACCAACCTTAAAGTGATTCATACAGCCCGCACAACTCAATGCAGACATTTTCTCGAGGTATGGGACGGCCTACAAACACGCAATGTCACTGAGTTTAAATGGACAATTTTTTATTTTTTTTTTCTTTTATTGCTGCGCTTGATAGTTAGTAGATGTTGTTTTGTATTACTGGCAACACCAAGACTAGTTTCATGCCGTGTGTCAATGTCAATGTCTTACGGAATTTCCATCTGTCAACGCCAATGATTTAGAATGTTGTAAGTATTGAGGGTTGAGGGTAGTTTGATATATTTTATTCACTGTGTAATGTCAATTCCGTATTGGCTTTCACTATTCTAGTCTTGATTTAGTTGTTTTACATGGAAATAATATTTGCACTTCTTCCACATTTATTATCCGACACTTTAACAGAACTTTTAATGAAAGTTAATTGCTTTCAAACACAAAACAAATTTTTATAAACGAGCACTGTGTTCTATGACAGTATGAACGAACGAACGTATCACACTTGCGTATGATTAGAAATAATAAGCCAGGATTCCCCTCGATGTTTTCTTTCGCTGTTTGTCAGTGGTGTCTAAATAATCTTAGAAAGTAAATATAACTAGGAAAATGTCACCTTGGTACTTGCCGTTGGTAAATTTATGCAATTAGCTATCGACTAACAAGCAATGTCCTACACTACATTTATCATTTGACTCTTACACTCCCTTCTTCATTTCCATTTTTCTACTAATTCCACTTTTGCTTCCATTGCTATTGCTTCTATCTCTGTGCCATTTTCATTCAGATCCATTTAGTCACATTAATGTGATCTAACTTTCGCATTTATAATATTAGTTCTATATATATGTGTCCCCCTTCCGATACTTGTAAATTTGGTAAACAAACAAGTCCAAATTTTTCGATTAGTAAACTAGGATATGCAACTGCAAATATATCAGAAGTTTAAATGTCAGTTAATGATATTAATATTGTTGCTACATGATCAAACGCAATACTAAGATCACAAAAGTCTTCAATGAAAATGTTACAATGATACTGATTTGTCGGTAAAGTCAATATTATATTACACAGGTATATTGTCAAAAGTGTCAGATAACGAATTGATCAAGTGATTTCAAGCAAGCACGAGGTCATGAGTTCAATTCTCAGGTCGAGCACCGAAATGTTATTGAGTTTTTACTGTAACAATTTGTTCATGACCTATTTCAAATACGACAGACTTTTCTAGTTCTTAAACAAAACTATATCTATGGTAGTTAATAAAGTGGTCAGAAGTTAAAATTATTTACAGCAGTGGGTACCAAGAATACAATAGTAAGTACTCTTAAACTCGTCAAAGTCAAGTCAAGTCAAAATCATTTATTTCAATTAGACCAGAAAGGCACTTTTGAACGTCGTAGATAGTTGTACAGATGGTAGTGAATTGTAGTAAAAATTGAGACTCATAAGTGATTTTTAATCTAATTGCTAAAATTGCAGAAGAAAGACTATAAATTTCTACCTTATTGGTATTATGACGAATTATAATTATTAAGTTCAAGGTTACTACTAATTTATTAATTTATTCATCATTAGCCATTAATATATTCTGCCTTCAAGGCCAAGGCAATAATTATTGTTTGTGGATTCTTTAGTGAATTTTAGTGCATTCTTCTAGGATTTTTAATTAATTAAGTATGTCATTATATCTAATTTATGCCTTAGGAATTAAAAAAAATATTTCAGTTTTATTTTAAATTGAGATTGATATATTTAAAGTAAAAACATGATCTTAAAAGAATGTGGTCTATATTTAGCACAATGCATATGACAACATTCTCGTTACGTAATGGTTTCCTGGCCATTTCAATACACGAACAGCTTAGCATAATATTAAATACTGCGAAAATACGCGTAGCACCGTCAAGTTCCACATGTATCACGCAAGTGCGAAGTAACTGATTATACCACTCAAATTACCTCAACGTGTATAGGATGAGAACGATTTCTTATTACATACCCACATTGCTACAAAAACCCACTTCACAATTACATTGATTTTTTTAATACCAATTACCGAAACCGCAAAGCTCATTCGCCATTTATTATTACGTAATAAACATCACAAAAGTCCATACGATATCAATAAACATTGTTTTTTCATCATTTAAAAACAAAACTTGCGCAAAATTTGTCTCATATTTGCGTAATTCCGTTCGATCGGACACTTTGTCGCAGAGAGGTTGACAGTAAACAACCGCTGCATGTAATGACATTTTGCAACACTTAATGCTCATAAAACACACGCTGTAAACCAAGGCACTGATTTTGAAAGATCAGCGCTAACTTAGTAATCAATCAGCAATTTGACAAATGGATGCTCAACGAATCGGTAATTTTATGCAATGAATTTACGAGCGACCAGAAGTTCCAGTACCTACGATTGAAACATGTTTCTGTTTTATTGATTACGGTGCGCTAATAAATAGCGATAGAACATAGCTAATTGTAATCGTGCGAGATTACGCTCGCATAATATAACTGCGTATTACGCAAAACAAAGATCGCGTACAGCCTGTTTATTGTCAAGAGTGAAAATGTACCAGGTTTCGTCACACGCGTAACTAGCGGCTATCCGCTCGCGATGCTTCTATCTGGGTCATATTATTTCGCATTTCGTAAAACTTACTTAAAGACCCATAACGTTACACCCAATTACACAGGGACAATGTATAAATTAAAACAACCGACATATAATATCATAATTGGCGTGGCCATTTATTTTCACAATCAGTTCGTTCATTCAAAGTTAAAGGAAATTCAAAACTTCATTTATTATTTTTGTCTTAAAATAACAGGTACATAAACTCAAACGTAACTTCAACCGATTAAAAAAAAATAACAAAAAGTAGACTAATAGAGTATTTAGTTCAGTGCGTTCGATCGCGGGTCGTGGAATACGAGTTCCTAGGATCTGGTAATACGACCACTATCCATGCAGGGGTATTACACGCCCCCCGTTCGTATTAGTGCTAATCTTATATTTATGTATCACATTCAAACGTCTGCTCCCTGCAGCCTTAGTAGCTATCATGATGACCATATTCGTGGCCGTGTCCGTGACCGATAACAACGGGGACTGGTACCTTCACTGGGTACGGCACTGGCTTCTCAATGTGGACTGGCACGTGTTTCTCGATGTGGACAGGGTAGGGCCTGTCGACGGGGACTTTCACGGGGTAAGGTACGGGCTTCTCGACGGGGTAGGGGATGTGCTTCTCAACGGGGTAGGGTGCTGGTACTGGCACCTTCACGGGGTAGGGCACGGGTTTCTCAACGTGCACAGGCACGGGACGGTCGACAGGGACCTTCACTGGGTAAGGGACGGGTTTCTCTACTGGGTAGGGCACGGGCTTCTCAACTGGGTAAGGCACAGGCTTGGGAATATGTACAGGGTAAGGCCTGTCGACGGGGACCTTGACTGGGTAGGGCACTTCCTTGTAGACTGGGTAAGGAGCGGGCACATGTACGGGTACCTTTACGGGGTAGGGCACCTTCTTTTCTACTGGGTAAGGAGCTGGGACATGGACCTTGACGGGCACGTGCACCTTCTTCTCAACGGGGTAGGGCTGAGGTACGTACACCTTGACGGGGACGGGCCTGTCTACTGGCACATGGACGGGGTAAGGCACCTTCTTTTCAACTGGGTAGGGTTGAGGTACATGCACTGGTACTTTCACGATCTCCTTGACTGGGTAAGGAACATGCTTGACTACGGGGTAGGGTTGGGGAACGTGCACCTTGACGGGCACGGGAACCTTCTTCTCTACTGGGTAGGGGATGTGTTTCTCTACTGGGTAGGGGACTGGGACGTTCTTGACCACAGTGATGGTTTTGTGGGAGTGGGTGTCGTGACCGCCGTAGCCGCCACCGTAGCCGCCTCCGAAACCTCCGTCGAATCCACCACCGAATCCACCGTGTCCACCGTGTCCATAGCCGAGTCCGATGTCGAACACTCCTCTCTTCTCGTGCTTCTTGTCGTCTGACGCAACTTCCTTGTTATCGGTCACTGCCACTTCTTTTTCTGCTGCCTTAGCTTCTTCGGCATTGACGAAGGCCAAGAGAGCCACCAGACTGGCGGCCACGAGCTGTTAACAAAAAGACAAAGTTTAATTCCCAAAACTAGAACAAATGTGATTGTACGAATAGAATTGAAAGTTATTATCGCAGTTGACTAATTATCTGGTGCAAATATGCTTCGAGGCTCGTTGTTTTAATGACTGGTCGAGTTAACATCGGTGCAGACAACTACACACTAAGTACGCAATTTCCTTGTTGCGTAAATTGTTAAAAGTGGGACAAGGGGGTTTTGCATATCCAGGCACTGTCACAACCCTGCGGCGTTATAATTATTTGTTAGCACTGTCACTTGTTAATTTTGGTAATTTTGATTATTTCAAAGTTTGAACACACCATGTGCCTCATGATGCTGCACTAGTAGGTTGCACTGAAGTCAGCGAAGTCCTGAATGCGAATGATGCGTGATCGTTCGTAGCTTCGCTATATATACGAGGTAAGAGCGGCCGAGCGAAGAAAAAAAAATGGCGGCACTCTATAGGACCATGTTACACTTTCGCTTTTGAGGGGGTTCGGAATCGAGCGAGCCGAAATGCTCTATATCTGTCTACGCCGAGATTCGAGGCGACCGGTTCGCTAGCAATGATATAATTTAAATATAATTAACGTAATCATCTAATGGCGATCTGTGAATGCTTTTCCTTTGTAAGGCCTCAAGGTTGCGGCGTTCATGTTTTGTTCGTGTGTTGCAGTTTAGTGGATACGTTGGCGGACATTTGATACGTATTTAGTCGATGTGTATTGTTATTGACCATTATCCTTGGGGTTTTCTTTAGTGCAGTCTTTGTTTTTGTAAATATTTTAATGAATTTCAGAGGTAAATAATGTATAGTAAGTATTATATTTATAATTACAAATTCTGGTGTAAGTTAGATATACTATGAGACAGTGAATGTAAAAGTTTCAAGATGTTTAATTACACGATAAAAATCATTTTTACACATTCCAATGTTTTATAAAATTTGACAGAGTAAAAGCAGTTGGTGTAATTACTTTTATTTATTAACTGTACAGTAATTAACTTTATAGCAATTATCGAACTAACACAATTATTTATTTATTTGCTCACTCCAATTAGACTATAGCTTGTTGTTATTACGCCTTATGGTGCTTAAAAGTAACTTCAATAAAGACTGGATCGCTTGCTTAAAAGCTTCTATTCTTCACAAGCCAAATAACGAAGATATAAAATCGTTTAAAATCTTCCTAATATCTCATGTACAGGGTTGCCCCTGTCAATCCCCCACAAATTCGATAGTTCATCAGGACTTAAGTATAATAATATCAAATAAATAAATAAGTAAAACAACAACAATTAGCTAACCTAATTAGTATGTCAATTATTATGAGCTCGATGTGACAATTATTATTCTTTATTTTTTATTGGGACATACAATATTACTGCTTTCTTTAATCTCCGAAGGGTTAGTCAGAGATTCATCTTATCTTTAATGTAGATGATACTCTTTTTTCACCGCCTATGTATGTATGTCATGCCTAAGTCCCAAGTTTTAGGGGGTAAGCAGACACTAGGCTCACAATTCCAAACGCAATTTTTTTATATTTCAACTTGAAATTCGTGAAATTCATAAACCCGAAATAACTTCAATTATATTTTACCCGACCCTCAACACAGTTATTAAGAAATAATAACATTCATACCAACATTACATACACAGGTCTATTTCCAAGTAAAGTCCTTGAACATGTCAATTACACGGAGGTGAAGGCCACCGAAACATCTTTAAATAAATAAAATTGTGTCCGCTTGCAAAACTCATTTCGTTGGAAGTCCGCTTCAATTTGCTTATTGACATAAGTAAATCCATTTCAGGTAATGTGAGTCATAACTTGGAAATTATAATCTAGATGACCTAATTAGGTATTACGTTTAAGTATTTTGTGTTGCAAATGCCATTTTATTGTTTATGTATAAAACCACGGTTAAGCTACTCTATTAACTAAAAATTACGAGTTACTTACGTAAGTATACCGTACGTGTATGATGTTCATAAGGAAGAGGCCCTCAGTGACTCGAAACTAGTAGAGCTTTTCTCAGTATATTTATGTGAGAACTCGTAATTTTTAGTTAATTCAGCATGGCATAGCTAAACATAAGCGATTCCATTTCTTCTTTTAATATTTTCCCTACATTTCCTATAAGACTTCAGTTGTCATTGTCATATTAGCAAAAAGACAGAAAAAATGGTAAATTTTGAAATTAATAATGTTGAAACTTTTCATTATAATATGTACATACATTTTACGACATAGATTTACAGTAGTTTCGATAGTAGAGAACTGTGATCACCAACCTGCCTGTCAGGTCTGGAGATTATGACGAACCTATTTGCCAGAGACTGTATTTGGATGTCTGTAGATTTGTATTTCCTGAAGGGTATAATTATATAACCTGGGTGACTTCAAGGCCCGAGTGGTTGCTTATGGGACGACGTGCTCCATCGAACACCGCATCATCGCTTACCGCCAGGCGAGATAGTGTTCAAACGTTGGCCCATCAAATATATAAAAAAAAATTATGAGGCCCAAAGTCCAACACTTGTCTATTATTAGCTGTTGATGACTTAATAAAGCTGTAAGCTCATCAATACCCACTTACATTTTGTTTAATCTAAGGTCCATCAAACAGATGATTGTCGTACAAAAACATTCAATAAATAAATCGCGTATTTGGCTAGTCATTCGTGATCTAAAGATATTAATGTCTATATCATGTTAACGCATATACAACGCGAATATCAGTTACATACAATTACAATTACAACTGTGTTTACATAAATTTGCAATATCGTGTTATCACAAAATGAGTTCAGCTGTTACATGATTAAAGAGTATTTTTTTGTTCTTTACCGACACAATTATTTATCTTTATACTTTTCTTATGTCATACGTTTTACTTGAAAGTTTACTTAAAATTCTTGAACGTAAACATTGAGTAATCATGAAGCTTTTAAATTAAAAGTAAATCTTGCAAGGAAGCAATGTGTGATTTTAAATGTTTTCATTCCCTCCCCAATCTCCTCAATCCTCGAATCCACAATAATCCTCAAATTCCTAATTCCCAAACGGTCGGTAACGCACTTGTAACACCTCCAGTGTTTCGGGTATTCATGTCCATGTTTAGTAGAAAGAAACAAATATAAATGAAAATATTAAAACATTGGGTATACTTACATCGGATTGAAAGGCAATAAAGCAATAAATATAAGCACTTTGAACTTGCACTGTACGTGTTGGAAACGATACATGAAGGGCGTATCCTTGGCGAAGGTATTGGAGTTCGCTTAGGAACCAATCACTTATGGCCTGTATCAATGACTTATCTTACCTAGATAGGCATCTGTAGATATGAAAAATGTACTCTCGTCCAACTAAGTAGGATACGTGAAACGTATTTGATCAATTGTACAAAATTATACTTATAATTGGATAACATGCTAAGCCCAACATCATATGCATTTGACCCATGGGGCAGTTCAATAAAATTATTAAATATCTAATTATTAGGATACAATTTAGTATCCGTCCATAGGCATTCATTTGCAGACATTTATTTATATGGTAGCACACAGGTTTAATAATCTTCATTTAATTTTGTAAGCTCTAGTGTTACTAGCACTAAATCATTCGTGTTCTTTTGTAAATACTAGGTACTAGAAATATCTGAATGAGTTTTAAAATTCGCCTGCAGTCGACTGCACTGTAGATGCGGTCACGCAACGTGTAGCGGGCTCGATTCCCGCACGGAGCAACTCTTTGTATGATCCACAAATTGCTTTTTCGCGTCTCTGGGTGTTATGTGTGTGCGAACTTGTACGGGCACACAGGAGAAAAGCCTAGGGTGGGGCAACGGTTCTTTTAATAAAAAAAAATATCACACTTATGAAATCACTGTACCTACCAAAATAAATGTTATCGAGGGATATACGTATTTTATTATCATTATCATCAACATATCGGTCAAAAGACGTCCACTGCTGAACAAAGACCTAACCCTGCTATTTGTATCAGGTTGTCTATCCACCATATGTGGTTAAAATCGATATTTAACTCTACTTACCGGTCGCGGAGAACCTAACGGGTAACCAGGTCTCCGGGTCGACGTGTAGGAGAAGGAACGGGGTGGTTTTTAGTCAGTAAGTCTGACACTCCCTCCCGCCTCACCTAGGCGGGAGCAGTCATTCGATGATTTTCCCACGTTAAAAAAAACCCTACTTACCAATATCAGATCGTCTTGCAATAATTCGATAGTCAGTTCAATGAGGTTACTGACAGTCATTTCGCCATACATCAACAGCAATGATTCCTAAAATGCTAATTCATGGTTACAACAAGGCAGCAAGTAAACTCGACGTTAAGTAAGTAAATGACTTATGGTTATCTCAAAGTTAATCGTTGTATTGGACAGGTAGTGAGAGCAAACGTGGATTATGGAATATAAGGATATGGACCTACATTCTTTAGTGATGTCTTAAGAATTGAGCCTATTAAGAATGTGGAACAAGCCTTGGGTTTGCTTGAACTGTTTTATTTAGTCTTCTTGCTTTCATTTTTTTATTAATAACAATAATTACATTATTATCATTTGTAAGATAGCTATGATAGATGATAGATAGATAGAAACCTTGAAATATAAAACACAGAATTCGGTTGACAAGATCAAGTTGCCAAAAATAAAGACCGCCACCTACTACAATCCTTGCATTTATGCATCTCTTGCACCATGTGACTTGTAAATATTGAACTGAATCAAACATGTTACCTACATAGTAAAATTTTCATCATGACATAACATCACGCCTTTTTATCCCCGAAGTGGTAGGCAGATGTGCATACAGAAGTAACACCCACTTTTCACTATTTATGTTATGAGTCCTATCTAATAGGGGGTGAGCCTATTGAGCATATACCGGGCACATTTCCAGACTCCGTGCTAGTACTGAGATTTTTTTAAAACGCAGTAATACTTTGCCCGACCCAAGTCGCACTTGCGACCACTCGGCCAACGAGGCAGTCTAGTAAAATTTTCTATAACTTTATTCCTATTACATTGCCCCAGTATTTCTGTTGTCACGTAATTCTTGAATCTGTGTTGAACAACTTTACAGTGGGTGAAATGATAGTGTCTACGGGCGCTTGCTCAAATGCACATCGCCTACGCTGGAACTAGTTTTACAAGTAACTTGCGCTATTTGATAAGCAGATCCATGTCTTAGTTTACTAACAAGTAATTGTGTAAGTAATTAAAGAGATAATTATGTGGTATGCAGTTAGTAGTTGATATGGTGTTGAAAGATATTTTAAAAATGATAGATGTGGCATTTCATACAACAGGCTGCAAGAGTGTCAAAGAACTAAAACCTTAAGTGTGGGAGAGCCATGCTTCGGCA